AATGGACAAAACTTAGGCTTTCCCTTACGACCATATTTCAGTAGTTGAGCACCCTTCTTCAAAGCAATTATTGCCTGAAAATCATTTAAGAATCATTCGAAACCATGAGAAAGATATGAAGGGCGGATAAACGCTGTCTGAACTAAACATAGGACCATATCAAATGCTATTCTAATTATAACGTTACCCTGAACTCCATACCACATATAGTAATGACTTTTTGACTTCCAACTCAAGAAGCATACCAACTTAGTTCTCATTCAGTTACAAGTTACAACCATCCAAAACATATCATTATTCATAACCGTTATCCTGCAACTAAGAGAATAAATCGCTAAATCCAAACTTTTAAGATATTAAGAAACCCTATGCGTCTTCTAAAGTTACTATAAAAACTGTTCCAAATAGAGCAGCAGGTTTTACACCCTGCGAAGAAAGTAAAATGTGGTTTCCATGCAATGCCATTTCCGTTAGATCACTCAGTCGCAATAATCACTAGACATTTATCGTTTGAAGATGTCAGTACTTTACATATGCCTCGGAGCAAACCCAGTTGTCGATATGGAAAATGCACATGGGAAAAATACAAAATTAAAAAAGGTTCGAAACTTCGGCCCTGTTTGGTTCTGTAAAAGCACCCATACTGCATCCATTGAGCCAAAAACGATGAACCCAGAAGTGATCCTCAAAACCAAAACCTTGAGAAGAATATGTTCCCACTAATTATATCTAAAAAGTTGTATGCCAATTACCAAATCAAAATTCCCTCACATTTTTAACATACCTGAAGATTATGTTCCCAGTACTTATATCTAGAGGGTTGTTTTTCAATTACCAAATCAAAATTCCCTCACATTTTTAACATACCTACAAAACTTAAAAGTATCAAGCTAAAATAAAGAGCTCTCCATCCAATTTCCACTTTTTAGAGGAGGAAAAAAACAAATCTTCTGCTTTTCTAAGTAATTAAACAGACAAATAATTAGGAATTTATTTCATTTTCTTTTTATTTTTTGATACATCTGCAAAAACTAAAAAGAGGCAAAGAGAATTTAGAGAGAAAGAGACCGACCTGGTCGATGTCACGGTTGGCATTCCCGTAGCTAACAAGATCTGCCATTCCATGTGACAGAAATTACCGTAACGCCACCACCCTCTCCGATCCCCCGCCGGAGCTCCGTTCATCATCTACCTTCCAACTGGCTCTCGCGCCTCCGTGCAATACCATCAACGGCCACGTCACCACCACCACAACCACCACTGCTCAGCTCTCTCTTTCTCTACACTACGCGGCGCAGATCTGCCGAAACCCTAAGACCTCCAGTTCTGATCTTTGACTCCGAGCAAAGAAGAAACTGAGCTCGAAGCCGTGGACTGTTGGGAAGCTGGTTGCGGAGAGACCGACGGCGGGTTTAAAAACGAAAAGGGCCTCAGAGAGGAATTTAGGGAGTGAAAGAGAAAAGAGAAGGGACGAAAGGGCGTCGGAGAATGGGACGGGAGGGGAAGCGGACCGGACGAAGGAGCGAGGGAGGGAACAGAAGAGAGAGAAAATTTAGGGGGGGTGGAGTGGGGGCCGTGGGGCGTGTCCGAGTCTGTAAAAAGCACAACTGGTCAAACCTGTGAAAAATTGAGTACTACCGATCAAATAAATCGAACTCTCAAAATAAAATAAAATAAAATATGTATCTAGAATTTTAGAATTTGATGCAACTGAGTACGAACTTGTTGAAACTACATGACCAAGGTGGAAAGTTACTCAAAGTTTTTCTTTTTATAAACAAGGTTAAACAAGCCATTTAGATGTGTCCTCCTCGTATGTTGTTTTTAAAAACGTTTTGTTGTAAGATTAAGATTGCAGCAATCAGTTTCGATTTTCTTTTTTTATATAAATAGTGTCGACCGGCCATATAAGTATAACTTTTCTTTCTTTAAGGAGTTTTATTTGTTATTTTCTAAAGGTGCCATCGCTGAAAATTGGCGAGGTGTAATGTCTTCAGCCAAATTTGAACTGAATGTAATTGCAGTCTAAGTTTTGTGTTCCGTTTTTCGTTTTGTTTTACATAAATGTTTACGTAACTACTCATATACGTTATGATATACTCAATTTCGAAAACACTTTATCATTATAAGATTGTGGTTATACTTTAGTGATGATTTTGGGTCCTTGTAAGAGTGCAAGTGATGCATCCTTTTCTTCCTTACGGGTGGTATTAGGTTTGACTTTGAGCGTTGTGAGAATAGCAGGATGACGATAATGGCCTTCATTAGGAGTGATGTGGCGAAAAGAGAAGCGACCAAGTGGTACGTTGGTCTACACACAAGCAGGACTGGAGAAGGGTAGAGAAGGTATTGTACAAGTGAAGGTGGGTTCAGAACTTCAGAGGGATTTGGTGGCGGTTGTAACGCCAAAGGTAGCAGATTTTAAACCCAAACGAGGAGAATGTAGGAGTTTGTGAATACCTACTATTGCACCAATGTTTCATAAATCCATATTAATTTGTGTGCACGAATGTCATTGATTTGTATTAAGGAAATACATGGACAAATATTCTATGCATTTTTAAGTGGAGAAAATCCAACAAAAAAACTCGACTCTTTTGTAAACATGAATATCAACTAGTAATGTGCATGTTAAAATATAATCATTCTTTACTTACTAAAGATAAAAGAATGACTGCATGAACTCGAATGTATAAACGAGTATATGGTTTGTTTGGGGTTCCTTTTTTGGGAAAAAAAAAATACTAGGAAGTGTTTTCTAATAACTAAAAACACTTATAACTAAAGTTTGTTTGGTATTGTTTTTTCATTAAAAGCTATTTCACTTTAAAGTTAAACATTAAAAAAATGTCTAGTAAAAACAAAATATCTTGCTTATTTTAAAAGCAGTAGCCTCCAGACATTATCTTTGAAACCAGCATGCATGTTGCCTTTAAAAGTTACTTCCATAAAAAGTTGAGTTGAACCTTTAATATATATTTTCAATTCCTTAATACCCTTATTAATTAAAAAAATTATTTATCTTTTTTACTTGGTTTTATATTTGTTGAGAAAAACAAAAGTTTTATTACACTTATTTTTTCTAGCTCACACTTTCTATTTTGTGTCCCTCCAAGACTTAGTAGCTAAGAGCTTATTTGTATGTGCTTTTAAAATGACTGAAAGCGTTTTTAGAGAAAACATTTTTGGGTTTCAAAAGCACTTTAAGTGTTTTCTGCAAGAAGCACCGGTTACGTGATTCTTTCAGGAAGCACCTTAAGTGCTTTTTCAGGATTTACTTGCATCTTTACTAATGATTGGTTCTAAAAACATTTTCACCAAAAGCGCTTTCAATTATTTCAAAAGCACATCCAAACGAGCTTTAAACTTCTTTGGCGAGCAAAGGATTTTGGGCAGTTCTGACGTACTGTCCAATTAATGTGAGAATTTTTAATTATTGTAGTTTTGTGTAATATTCATCCTTACTTAGGATGGGAACTTTTCGTATATTTACTGCACCATTATTATAACAATTGCAATTTACATTCCGTACTGCGCACTCTCATCAATAGTTTTAAGTTTCGGTTTTGATTTATTCACACTTTTTATTTTCATGATATGGTTTCGTTACTTTTCATTTGTCAGCTATCGTACCTTCACTTTGGTGGATATCTGGGTCAGGTGGTGTCAGCAGGAGAATCAAGTGTTCGAATGTGAGTATAAGTATAAGGGTATTTAGGCTAGGTAGTTTTGAATTATAATATCTTATCGATGCTTTAAATCGCTTTTGACTTGACAAGGCAATTTGTGAAATTGTTATATAATCATTCATGGTGTTGTGTATGGATCTTTTTAAGATTTTTGTTTAAGCAATTGGTTGAATGATGATCATGTTATACATTATGTGGATAAGTAGAATCAAACAATTTTGGCTTTGTTTTGTCCCAATTGACCATGTCTCTAGTGAAGTTGTAATTCATTTTGATGCTTGTAAATCAAATTGTACTTCGACTAAGCAATTTGTTGAATTATTAATATATTACTTATTGTGTTTGAGTAAGTGAAGGTTAGCAGAACTTGTTGTTAATTGAAGCTTAACATTATTATCGTTAAGTTTGTCCAGATAAGTAGGAGCGAATAACTTCGGTTTGCTCTATAAGTAAGTTCACACTGTTATACATACATATTGGGCATCAATAAGCTTAAGCCAATTATGCGTTATGTATATTGAGAGCAGAAACTTACTATTGAAGTCGACAATAACTTCATCTTCCTCGATTCTTTAAAGGTCAGATTTATTCTTACATGCAATGAGCATGATTTAATTTTCTTTAGTTTGAGAAGTCAAAATAGCCAAAAACCCTAAAACCTGTGGGACTTTGTTCTTCAAGAAAAAAATAAGGAGGGATTATGGTAAGCAGTTATTTGAAGCGCATGTTCCACCAAGGTGGCTGTTTTGCATTCTGATTTCTCTCTCAGCTCTTCTTACATGATCGATGCTTTTATCTACGTACTCACCCATGAATAATGCTAAAAAGAGAAAAACTCATACTATAGATATATAGCTCCTTATGTTTACACATTTTCCTAAACCCTAACCCTAATTCGACAACCCTAACCCTAATTTTGTTAACTCTGAATGGTGGCAGCTGGCAGTGCATGGTGGTCCACTAAGGGACTAGAGTGGTTTCGGATCCATCCTAACAACTGTGTAAAAAAATTTCTAGCGACATGAAAAGAATATGAATTATCCTTGTGAATAAGTTAAGTCAATCGACATCATAGCTTTGTGGTTTCTTGAAACTCAAGAATTAAGTTTTGGTACGACAAACTTCTTCTCATCCTGCACATAAATAAATATTCACTGTTTGGTTGCGTCTTAGTCTTGCCATTAAGAATCTAGTTTCAGTTTGAGTTCAAAATGTACAGACAGCTTCCTTGTCCGTTTTCACATATCATGATCGGCACTGTCCAAGCATTGTTACATTATTATCCCTACAGCTACTTATCTGTTCATAGCATAGTAAATTTTGCTTGCTGATGTGAAAATGTCATAACATATATTGCTTACATATCTTCCATACCTTGCACTTTTTGTTGAAAACTTATTTACATAATACGACTTTGCATCTTTTTTGGTTCAATTTGACATAGATGAGAGACGCACATTATTAACTGTATGTACACATACTTCATTGCTGGATCAAATAAATTAGCTTTGAGGGAAAAATAAATAATCAAATATCAGGCAGGTTATACTGGGATTGAGATGGTGACTTACTAACATAGATTCTGAGAAAAAGCACCATGTTTAGCTTTCCAAGTACGACTCTGAAGCATTGAATGGTTAAATAAAGCAGAAAGCAATTTTTATTCTTCCTTCTGCCTTTTGTGAGCTTGTTCTTGGTCATCAAAACTACCACTTTCACTTGAAGCTGCTTCTTCCCAATATCCATGCGTTCGCTTCAAGATTTTCAATGCTCGGTTGAGCTCTTCCAAATCTTGCTTGTACACCAAACGAGTCCCACACATTTTCACCAGATTTGGTTCATTTCCTCCACATCGATTACATATTTCAAATGAAAACTGTTCCTGACATTGTTCTCGAGACAAATAAAATATCCAAAGGTGTTCTGGCACCATATGCTTTGTTGCAGAAATATGACAAGAAATCCCAGGCAAACACTTAAGATCGACATCATTTAAACGGAAAGTTTCGAAGTTTCCCTTAGGTAGTGCAAAAGCAACGCAAAAAGCAATTCCCATCCAGCTGCTACATGATTGAGGAGGTAGCTTCACGTTTAGCGAATGTCCCACAGTTTGTTTGTTGAACCACTCGGGAATCCCCTTTCCGGGGCATACAATGTGATTATAACCCCAATAACGACAGATTTCCTGCACCAATGTAATGCAATTCAGAGAACAGAGAGAGAGAAAGAGAGAGAGAGAGAGAGAGGGAGAGAGAGAGAAGGACAGAGAGAGACAGAGAGACAAGAGTACCTTACTGGCGAATTTCACGATCCTTGAACATATTGTATTCATCCAGTCTTCATCTTCAACCAATGTAATGCAATTCAGAGAACTGAAAGTAAAATCATAAATATTGGCAAATCTGCTGCTCAACTTCGAGGGATCCGACAACCTTTTCAAGGAGGTACAATCATCTACATCTACGTGTAATCGGCTATTTGACGGAAGAACTGGCAGTTGCTCAAGTCTTCGGCACCCATTCAAAGAAAGAGAATCAAGTCTAGAAAGGCATTTGATGCTTGCTGGAAGGGTAATAAAATTGTTTCCACGAAGAGCTAACATTCGTAAAGAGGACAAGTTATCCCCAATATCATGGGGGATATCACCTTCACCAAGATCACAATAGGATAGTACTAAGCGCTCCAAACAACGCAAATGATTTAAAGAAGACAACACCAAACCCGAACAAGGCTCTTCGCTCTTTCTAATTCCAAATAAGCGGAGAAGGCCCCACTCTTCCCTTGGCTTAACAATTGATCCATAAGCACGCAGGTTTTTGAGATTTTTCATATCAACAAGTGGCTCTCTTATTGCGTTTTGCCCCAAAATAAGTTCCTCTAAAAACTCCATCTTCCCTGGGAGTTTTTCGATTTTTGAACTTCCGGTGACGCGCAGCTGTTTAAGAGACTTCAAATTACAAATCTCAATAGGAATATCCAACAGATTTACGCAATAACCAATATCCAGTAGAGTAAGTCCAACCAGATGTCCAATTGTTGAAGGTAATTTCTCAATCGCAGTCCAAGCTAAACCAACCTCGGACAAATTTTTCATCTGCTTTGAAAATTCTGGAATCTTTTTCACTTTGGAGCATCCAGTAAGATCTAAAACTTCAAGGGAATCCATTTCTAGCTCACTTGGGAGACTCTTAATACTTTTACAGATATCAAGTCTCAAAACTTTAAGTCTTTTAAGAACTGCAAAAGACGGGTGTACCTCAACCAAATTCGTACACCACATAAGAGACAACTCCTCAAGATTTTGAAGACCAGTAAAATCTGGGGTACTTATCAGTTTACTTGAGAAGCTAAGATCAATATATTTCAAGTTGGGGAAATTCTGCAGAATACAAGAAATAATGTATATAAGCTTCCAATTCCAAAAACCTTACAATTTTATTGGACATAAAAAAATTGTTAAATAGCATTCATTGGGTATATTCTTACCTCTTTTCCATCCCAAAGCCGAACAAGTTTGCTATCACGCATTTTTAGTTCAGTAAGGAAATGCGGGTGAAAGCTTGGTGGAAGAGACTTGGAAGGATACAAACTCCAATTCATAATTCTCAAGGAACATGGAAGAAATTTGGGACTTGAAGAAACGATCAAATTGTCATATTCCAGAAACCTCAGTCCAGACATGTTAGAGAAGGCTTCGCAATTCCAGTGCACCTCTTCTTTTTCGGGTAACCGTAGGCTTATGGCTTCAATAGCTCTTGTCCCCTAATAACCAAGAATGTAGGAAATGTCAATTTCACATTTAGTATCGTGCCAAAAAAATAATATCTTCTATCAAACTTGGTAATCTTACATAACTTCCTACCGTATTGTTCATGAATACATGAAAAATGTCATTGCGAAGCCACAACCTACTCCGCCGGCCAGGCTCTTTAGACTCGTTACCAACAATTCTCCATGCCATTTCTTGTATCAAATCATGCATCCCTATCCTGCTGTACTTGACTGAAGTATCATACAGGAAGCATTTTTCAGAGGTCAGAAGAGATTTCTCAATTAGAGCATCTATCAAGATCCGGCTTGAAATATCAAGGGAATTGTCTAGCATTTCAATTACTCGCTGCGTGTGCTTCCCTTTGTGAAAACATGCAACATCGAGAAAAATTCTCTTCTCCATCTCTTCTAGTCCATCATAACTTATTTTGAGTTTATCAAAAATTGTTGGATTAGGAATTTTCTTTAGATTATCCCGTGCACTATTCCATGCATCTAGATCTCTCTTAAACAAAGCCGACCCCAAATGTTCAAGAGCTAATGGAAGGCCTCCAGCATGATTAATGAAATACTTAGACAGTTCCAAAAACCCATCTTCGGGCAGATCTTTCTTAAAGGCATGTTGACTAAACAGAGCAAGAGCTTCATAATCATTTGACAACTTGACGCTATGACATAAAGTTATGCCATGCTGGACTAGCAAACGTTCATTTCTAGTTGTAACGATAATTCTACTCCCACTACCAAACCAAGCTTCTTTTCCAGCTAGTACTTGTAGCTGGTTTATTTGATCCACATCATCAAGTACAAGAAGAACCTTTTTGTTGCTTAAGCACTTCTCAATCTTTTCTTTCAAGATTGGGAAAAGAAGTTGTTGTTGAAGACTAACTAGAGTACGATCTCTGATATTTGCGAGAAAGCAGTAAACTTCAAAATGATGGAAGATTCTATCATAAACTAGCTTGGCAAGGGTTGTCTTACCGATGCCGCCCATCCCCGTTATCCCTATAAAGCGAACATCATTGGCATCATGAGCTAATAGCGAATGCAGCTTGCACTTTCCTCCACACGCTGTTGACGATTTTTTCAATAAGCTCACTTTCACACCTACAAGGTATAAAATAACCAATAAAAAATACATAAACGAAGCATTCAAGTTTGACTCTGTTAAGACATGGGAAATTAAAGTTGTTCATGCATGCTTACTTATATTGCTTCGAATGCCAACCAGAAATTTTGGACAGTCTTTTTAGATCAGCTTTCCATTGGACAACCTTCTTTTTATCTTCGGTAGTGATGAACTTTTCTTCATGCTCCGTGAAGGCTTTGGCAAAGGATCCCCGTTGATTTCCAACGTCAGATGGATCTGTCTCGTAAAAGACCGGCAGAACTGAGTTCCTAGCTTCCATGCATTGAAGAATGTCCGTAAGTTCATTCAAGCACCATTTGGAAGAAGCATAGTTTGGTGAAAGAACAACGATTGCAACATGCGATTCTTTGATCGCACTCGGGAGCTCAAGTGGAATACTTGTTCCTTCTTCAAGCTCTCGATCGTCAAGGAAAGTCGTAATTCCTTGGAACTTGCAAAATTCGCGGTATAAATGGGATACGAAACCCCTGCGGGTATCTACACCCCTAAAACTCAAAAACACATCGTACTTCCATCGAGGAGCTGATTCGAGAGAAAGAGGTGGTGCAGAGGCTCTTTGGGTGCTCATCGCCATTGCAAAGCAAATAAAAAGTGAACCAAAAACCACGATGAAAATACTCACACAAAAGCAGTGGTCTAAAAAAACGGTGCGGCCATCTAGGCGCTGGGCGGCGGTGCTCGGCCGCGATTAACCCGAAATTGTTTCTAAAATCGGCAAGGTTATTAGGCGGCGTGCTGTCTGGGCAGACGCTAGGCGGTCTGGTGGGACGCTGGGTGGTTTGACGGCCTGAGAAAGAACATCTGTAGCGAGACCCAATTTGTCTCCCCGAGTCTCGCCATCTCCCTCTCAATGTGCAAACAAAATCGATCTGCAATTGCGAACGGATATGTCGACAATGGTTGGAGAAATCTGAAGAAGATGAAGAAGCGAGGGAGGCGCTGTGGGATTGGTTGGAGAAATCTGCAGAGGAAGAAGAGGGACGGAACTGGATCTACAATTGCAGACACGGAATGGCTGAAGGCGGCAGTGGTTTAGACTTTTAGCACCTTTAGCACGCTTTATATGATTTAGTTAGGGTTTTTTATTAAGCATGTGCATACCGATAAAAACAAGGATTAAAGCCCAACCTTTCGTTTTGTTAATTAGAATAAAAGGCCTAACAAAACTTGTGGGCTTAAAATTTTACATATATACTTACTTATAGATATATATTTTTTTAAATAACATTTTATTTAAAGTTTATTATATATTATAGAGTAAATTTAATTAATTTTATATGATATGTAATAAATTTAACTAAATCCGCCTAGGCTTCCATCTAGACTCCATCTAACTGTCTAGATGCTAGGCCCTAACCTATCATCTGACTAGCATCTAACATTGTTTAGAATCTTACACAAAAATAGGAGTAGACCAAAAGAGAGGGTTTGGGGAAAGGAAATAATGGAAGAGAGAAAGAGTGAAGGTGGTAGGGAAGCCAAGTGGGACGATACGAATCAATCCAACAAGAAAACAACAAAATAAAGACCAAGAAGCAGACTTAATTGGCAAGAAATAATTGAGAAAAGTCAATGTGACTACCTACTCCTACTCCTGCTCCTTAATTGGACCAAAAATAATTATTCATTTTCTAGGGGCCTCTATGCATTCTGAGCGCGGTTTCCAATTACTTGCTGAACGATTTCAAACTGCTTGCTAGACGGGTTCCAACCACTTGCTTGGTAAGATTGCAGAGTTTTCTGACTAGTGGGATTAATTTAAAGCGAAAAACCGATGAAATAATTGAGAGAAATTGGTTGAGGGTAGGCATCATCAAGGATTAACTTTTAAATGTTAATTAAAAAATCGACAATAGCTACAAAGTTCTTTTTATAGATTAGATTCAAAA